AATACATCTTCGGACGCGTTCAAATTACATATCAAAGTAAATGTTTGATTGACATCTGACAGCAGTGGCCTGGTACTGTAGACTTTCAAGTTGAAAACATATAGTAGATCTTGATGCATATGGCTTTGTGACTGCTGAAATAACGGACTATGGAAATTAACGCAGTATGGTATTGGAAGAAATAAAAGGCAATTTAACTGTAAAGCTTCTTTCTGGTTAAAACATTAAGAAACAAAATGAAACCTTTTAGAATCTGACTTTTAAATACATTTAAAAACAGCGACTTTTCTATGTTCCTTCCTTTTGCTATGTGTGTTGCATTGTGGGAAAATGGTTTCCATTAAGTCATACTGGGAAAAAAAAGTGAGTTTTGTTTTGTCACTTTTCTGCTTAAGCCTCCTTAAAATCAATGTGTAGATTGCAAAGTACCGCAGCTGATTTACCCCGGCTCGTTAGTGCTATTTGATTAATTACATTCACCTGGTGTTCCTGGTGCCAATCTGAACTGCATTAAACGTCTCTCTGCCTCCTCCATACCTCCTCAAATGATGTGAGTATAAAAGAACTTGAAGTTCTTTGGCGTCTTCTTCCTGTCTCCATTCGTCTTCATCATTATTTCACATTACCCTCCTCTAAGACTCTTCTTGCTTCCTTCCTCTGCTTCTCTTTTACACTTGTCTGTGTCGCTCCATCCTCCCCACATATCTCTCTGTCTGCCTCGCGTCTTTATCAGTCTCTCTCTGACTTTATCGTGTGAAACATCGCTTTATCCATCCCTTTAAGTATCTCAGTCTGTAACGCCGCTCCTCTATCTCCCCTCTGCCTTTTATCTCTCCATCTCTGTCTCTCTAAACATTTCTCTTTGCCACCGTCTCTTGGTCTCCTCGCATGTCTGTATCATGTTTTATGTTGTTGCTTTTTACTCTTTGTCAGCTCATCTGACTTTTTATTGCTTATATCCCTTTCTCTTGCTTTTCTTTTCATTTCTAGCTGGCTTTTCTTTGGTGTGTAATGGCCATCTAGCAGGACAGCATGCTGATGTCCTGCCTGTCAGTATGTGTATGTGTGTGTTCAGGGGTCAGGGTTGCGGCTCTGCTTAGCTCACTGGTTGGCTGAACCCATCTGTCAATCAAAATTGCTGACCTGTGATCCCGGTAGCAGCCAGTCGCATCGCCTCTTTGACAGAATTAACAAAATCTTGTGTATTGCTCATTGGCCCAATTGAATAACACGTTTTTAAACTGCTGATTTAAAGCGCACACACACACACACACACACACACACACACACACACACACACACACACACACACACACACACACACACACACACACACACACACACACATGCGCACACACACATAACTGCGATGGATGAGGGTTAGCATCGCTATGTATTGCCCTCCGATTGCAGAGCAGGAAGACAGTGTCTGCCTTTGTATATGATTCTTGTTTTGATAGATTTTTGATTGAGTTCTTCTCTGTGTTTGTGTCTTTGTATCTTAATATGCCGCCAAGGCTTTTGTTTTCATCACACTGTTTTCTACAGTTTATGGTGAATTATTTGCTTCGCAGGACGTCTATTCTGCGTCATCTCTCCCTACAGCACCTCACATCTGTTGTCATTTCATTACAGACATTTATTTGACACTGTGTGCCTGCCAAGACACTCTGGATAAATCACACTGTTATTTTCTCTGCTTTCAACCACCTGAGTGGAAGGAAAAAAGGCAGAAAATTGTCTTTTTTTCTGCATCCAGCAGTTGTGTTTATTGGTGTAAGCAGCGGCACAGCAAGTCTGTTTATCACTAAGCATATTTTCAGTCAAAGGGAATCAGGTTTCAGTGAGCTGGTGTGTACTCAGTGGGTACAGTACATTCATACAGTCGCCCCCAGCGATCAAACAGAAGCTGCGTTTGAATGGCTTTCTTCCCTCTCAAAGCCACTGTGACAGGTTGCTACATGTTAGACCTCCAGTCTGCCTGCTGCCTCTGCTCCTATTGACTGACTGACTGGCGGTATTTGGTTTGTCTCCATGACTGTCTCCACTGCTTGCTTACCTGATTGCCTGTCTACCTGCACGCATGACTGCCAGTATCTGCTCTTAAATACACTATCGTAGTGTATATATATGTAACTATAAGTAGTTATAGGTAGACAAAGAGCTTGTCATAGCAGCAATATGAGAAGAAAACCTTTCCAGTTGCTGCAACCAACATTTATTTACATCTTCATTTAACTGCATATTGTTTTCCTGATTATGTCTAAAAAAGATCAGAATATAGTAAAACAGTGAACCAAGTCCAAGGTAATGTCTTTATTGTCTGTTTTTTCAGTCTTAAACCCAAACATATTAAGTTTTATCACAAAATAAAACTGCCTTTCTGCCGTAGTTGCATGAAAGTTACTTTGATTATCAATAATATATTGGAACAAGGTCTATAGAATGCAGCGTTGCTAATGTTATAAAAGACAGCTTGCTTGTTGTGCTCTGACATGGCAAAGACACTTAAAACAAGTAAATTGTGATCCATTAAAAAGGATATGGATTCAGTGGTCACAAATGATAGCACAACTTCTTGAATTTTAAAATCTTGAGAAAATAAAGAATCACATAGCATTACACAAAAATCTCCCCATGCTTATTTTTACCCATCCGGGCAGTCACGGCGGATATAAAGCAAAGAGAGGCAGCAGACGTAACATTGACGTAGCTTTCTTGTTCCCGCCGCTTGCTATCTGTGTCCCAGGTCTATTTTTACATATAAAATCTCTGCAACTCAAACTGGCAATTTTAAAGACAACAGAAACTGGTGTAGTTTATTATTAATTCATTAGCTTTCCGTGCTCTCTAACAAGGTTATTTATAGCTCCAAGAGGATTTCTTTGGAGGCAAGAAAACCTAAAGAGCTGTTCTCCATTAGCCCTTTTCTGTCTTTATCGCGGCCTACCTCTATCTATTCCTCCGTCTATCTGTCACTGTCTGCCCCTATCTATCTGTCTGTCCTGTCATTGTGTTTGTCTGAGAAAGGAACCCACCCACGGTTGTCTGGTTTCGATCTCCATGGCGACCTAATCCTCGCCAATCCCAGAACAGTAGTGTTCCAGTTGAGACCCACTGTGTGTTACAGTAGCCTGTCATCACTGATCACAGGATAGAGTCGCTTCTGTTTTGTCAGAGTGGCTTTGATCCACAACTAATGGTGTGTGTGTTATGCCCCTAATATGGGGAAAATATAAGACAAAGGAAACAGAGACGATGTTAGCTTGCTTCAAGTCTTATGTATTATGTGTGTGTGTGGTGTGTGTGTGTGTGTGTGTGTGTGTGTGTGTGTGTGTGTGTGTGTGTGTGCGCGCGCGTGTGTGTGCGCGCGCGTGTGTGCGTGTGTGCGCGCGCGTGTGTGTTGCCCTGGCCTGCGTAATGAATCCAGTAGTGCTGTTGGCATGAGCGGGGCCATGCTATTAACCTCTCTGCCAGCTAGACTGATCTCACCCTGTCTGTCTGTCTCATCGGCCTAATGACACTCTCACACTCTGAGCACACCCCCCCCCCCAACACACACACACAGACCTGTCCTTTCTAATCAAATTTTCATTGAAGTGAAAAGTATTCTACATTGTCCAATCATCTCTATTCAGAGTGTCAAAAAGCTTCTGCCAGCATGGTGAGAAGATTTCTTTTTCAACACCCACTCAAAGGAAGTTACTCTTCAAAACTATTTCTAACGTTTTAATCTCCACTTGCCCTCTACAGCCAGAGGATCACATTTCACTGTATTTTACACCGGCCACCACTTCAACAGCGCTTTTATGACTGACCGCGATTTTCTCTCTTTACAGTCACAGTAAAACTACGATATGGATGTGTGCTCTTTACTTTTGATCTGACAAGACCGTAGTGTAGTAGTTCCGTAGTGTAGTACTTCTGTCACGTTGTAGTCCCCTAATATCTAATACAAAAAAAATTTAAGATATAAATCTCTCGAGACTTTTACTCTGCCAAGCCTGCCAAAAGAAGATTTAAAGAGACATCTCAAAGCTTGGGACTCGGAGCAAAATCTGGAGGTGGACGATGAGCTTCACACACGCCCAAATTACAGCCTGTGTGCTTGTTTAATGAGCTTGTGGTAGCACTTTTGGTCGTCAATAAATAAAAAAAGCAATATGACATGTTGGGAGAAAAGATATGACATGAAAAATGCTCTCAAATTGCTTCACCAGTAGTCGTAAATGTTTTTTAATAGTCTGTACTTAGCTTTTGTGTGTGTGTGTTGGCATGCTTGTGTGTCTGTGTGAATGAGAAAACCCCAGCCTCCGTAGGAATCCTTAGAGGAGTGAGGAGCACCTGGCGCTGTCTGTAGTCATAACAAACGACAAGAGGGGATTTAGACTACATTTGTATCGGTGCCAGCTTGTTACACGCACTCCGTGTTCACATTCATTCTCATAACCGGCGTGTAATGTAGCGTTGGGACTTGGCGTGGCTTCGCCCTCGCGAGTTAGTTCTTTAACTGCACTGCCTGGAATGCCCCGACTCATCCATGTGTCCCTCATTAGGGTTACGGCCTGGGACGGGCCAGCGGAAATATCCAACACACCTCATCCCATCTGTGAGCAGAGATAATGTAGAGGAGGATGCACTTGGCAAGCCAGAGGACATAAAGTTAGAGGTTTCTGCAGTGAGAGTTCATTAGGCGGAGGACTGCTGGGAGACGGGTGTCAGCCTGGTCTGAGCTAAATTAAAAGTGTTAGCTCAGGGACAATCAGATGGATTGGGGAATGTATAGTGGCCAGTTTGTGTTGGCCAGTGTGAACATTTCCAAATATAATTTCAGATTATGCTTTTGACTATTATAGTACACCATCAAACTTGCTGTGATGCCTACTAATTGCCCCTGACAGCCTCTCTGCATTGCTTTTAATTTGAAGGGAACGTTTTCTTCCACCTTAGCCCTGACCTTAATGCCTCCCTTCTAACCGTCGTGTGATTGGTTGTTTCAGCAGGTGGCGCCATATGGACAGCAGGGAATGGGGGGCTTCAGCCAGCAGCAACAGGCGGGGCAGCAGGGGAACCCTCCGTACTTCAGCCCCCCCCAGCAGACCCCGCCAGGACCCGCTCAAAGCCCCTACCTGCAGCCTCGACCACCCCCCCAACAGGTACTAACACCAGCTCATCAGAGCGAGACACACACTGTGCTGTTCGCCGGCTGTAAAATTGGCCAAGACATTCAGCTGTAATCAAGCCCAAAGGCCCCTTGACATGCCATGAGCAAACAAATTGAAATGATTACCATAACTCAAGACAAAATATGAATAAATATATCAGATACACATTGATGCGCAGATGTCGCTTATCACATCAGGAATAACATTTGAAACATCAGCCGAGAAAGGGATTTCATCCAAACATTTTTCCATTGGTTATATTTTAATATTTTAGTGGTGCTGAAATTGAAGAGATCATGTTTAGGGATAGAGTGTGTGTGTGTGTGTGTGTGTGTGTGTGTGTGTGTGTGTGTGTGTGTGTGTGTGTGTGTGTGTGTGTGTGTGTGTGTGTGTGTGTGTGTGTGTGTGGTCCCATTATTCCCTCGCATTATTTATAAGAAGGTATTTTAGGTACATATCACTGTGTGCTTCTATATATTGTCATAACCTCTCAGCTCACACACACACACACACTCACACACACACACACACACACACACACACACACACACACACACACACACACACACACACACACACACACACACACACACACACACACACACACACACACACACACCCACACACCCACACTCACACTTACAGAGAGAGGACTTAAATGCAATTCAAGTTCACAGTGATACAGTATAAACACATATTGAAAATGTTCTATGCACACAAACGCGCCTGTGCAATCCCAGAATCCTCAGTACAACAAAAGGCCTGTTGCACAGCTTTGGATTGAGGCTCGTCCTGCCAAGTTTTGGTGTGTTGTTCTGTTGAAGTTTTCCATCGGGGATCTGGGTTCAAGCAGTTGTTTTAGAGTTGAGTGAAGGCTGCCCATGTGTTTCCCATCCACTCTGCAGCCAGAGGGATCTATCCGCCTGCATGGAGTGACTCTGGTTAACAGCCTGTCCCGGGATAGGAACAGATTAGAACAAAACTGAGCAGGAAAAGAACAGTACAAGACGGGAGAGATTACAGATACAGAACTGGACAGGAAGGGAAAGATCAGACAGAACAGGGAGGGAGAGCCAAAGAGTGGACGATGCAGAACTGGAAAAGAGACATGAGTAGGGGTGGGTATCGAGAACCGGTACTAAGTCAGTACTGGTACCCGATTGGACAGTATCGGTATACCGTAAAGCCGCTGGAAAAACGGTGCTGCTATCGGTATATGAATTACGCTACTTCCTTAGTTTAAACAATTCTGGTTGGTGGGACGTATCCGGTTTGATTACCACTATGATCGGCCACTGTGAATGCCACTCGTCATCTCTCCTAACAACGCTCTTATTATTGTGAGACTCCTGGGGGCAGACCCTAGGGGCAGACGCAACATCTTGCTAGAAACAGCGTCTCAAGGCTTCTTAACATTTAACAACCTATTAATGATGCATACCCACTTAACGGGAAGAAACTCAGCTAACAGACGATATTAACCATTTTACCTACACGGAACAGAAGTCCAACACCAAGAGTCTAAACCAACACTTAGCGAAACGGGCTATCGGGGCTAACGGCTACTTTAGCATATAACTGGCAAAAGTGATCTTTTCTACGTCATTTTATCCGCACAAACATCATATTCACAGATTCCATTGGTGTAAGTCTCATCACTGTACGACCAAAACTCACTGAACTAGCAGCCAGGAAAGAGCAAGAAAACAACTTCTACTTTACGTAGCCATGATAGAAAAGGATGTCTTACCTTTGCTGTTTTGTGATCAAAAGCTGTGTTCAAGGGCATACAAACGGTTAATCCAATGTCTCTGTGTAACTTTAAAATGATTACTGATAATCCTTTATTACAATTATAAATAATAAACGCAATAAACGGATAATAATGGTTAGCCGACCGGAGCTTCCGGTTTAGGAGGTGCGCACGCAGCGTCTCGTTTTAACTTAATAATGGTCATGTTTACATGGATTTATGAACTGCCCCTAATTACCGCCCCCCTTCCAGAGACACACTGTCAAACGCACTCATACCTGCTTGGTATGACATTGAAAAAGTTACAATAAATAATAAATACAAATCAATTACAATAAAATGACTGTTGTTTAATCTCCACATCTTGTAACCATGTCTATAATTTTGAGCACCAAATTATTGAAAAGTATCGATAAGAGTATCGAAAATTACCGGTATTGATAAGCGGTATCGGTATCGATCAAATCCTAACGAAACCCATCCCTAGACATGAGTGAGGTCAAAAGCAGCTATGCAAGATCAGCATCAGAATGGTAGTTCATCAACAGTTGCGTGAGAAGTCAACATCCAATCTTTGTTTGTTTTATGTAAAAAAAATACAGTGTTTAATTTCAAAACTGAAGAGACTGTTAAATGGAAAGATACACCACCATCATCGCAAGCTACAACGTAACTGCTGCTTACATAATTTCTTCTTCAATCTAGAAGGTATGATTGGTACTTATCTTTCCTTTAAGTTGCATTAGAGTGATTGCTACATTAACTGTAAACGCATTTCTCTTTCTAGATTGCAAAGACATGTTCATGCAAAGACTTGCAAACTATTTTTTTTTTTTTTAAAAGCATCCTTTATTTGGCCCAGATCCCTTTTTGGTTCACCAATGTGAGTGTTTAAGCATCTGCACTAGTTGAGGCCATTAGGCAGTAGGTAGTTGGATCTGTCAAGGTAGTTATACTGTCATTTACTGAGATCAAGTTAAACCTTTCTTTAGACAGTCTGGAATAATGAGTACATGAAGACAAATAGCTAAGCAAAAAGCCATTGAGAACACAAAAGCAGGTTGTCAAAAAATAAAATCGTTAGTCTTGGCATAGTAATTTCACACTGAACATTTCAGCCAGCATGCCTTTTGTCTCTCACTGAAAAAAAAGCACTTACTCTTATTCCCCCCCCTTTAACATGCTCACACACACAGACTGAGCTGCCTACTGCACAAACATTATTCCCTCTAACTAGGAAAGGCTGAGATCCATGGCCAGGCTGACATTTCGTGACAGTAATGGTGTGTTTTCATCATTGCTGATGATGCGGCACCAATTGACCCTCGCTGACATTTACACACCAGGTAGTTGTGCCCCAGCTCTCTGATTGGCCAAAGCCCTGTTTCACCTGTGCTGATAGGTCCCATATTGGTTTCCATGCCAACTGCTGTGGTGACCAAAGAGCTGCTTTCCCTTTGTTTTTCATTGTTAGGCATGCACGCCACTTTAAGGGAAAATGTTTCAATCAGCGCACATGGTTGTTAACGCTGCATAAAAGCCACAATAACTTCAGCAGCCACTGCATCAATGTTGCTTCCCGCTGTCTTTAGCTTTTAATCAAGAAATCCTTCATATGTGTTTCAGCTATATAGCATTTTATATCCCGGCAACACAGCAGGCGATGTGCCGACACCTCCTGATTCCTGTCTATTAGCCATCAAACTGTAGACCAACTAAATCCTCTCTTTGAATAATAAGCTTCCATACATTTTTATGTTTTGGCTTGTTGTTGGAATTGACTTTTAACAAGAAACCCTGCTATTAATGGAGAAGAACCGTCAATTTACTTTCAATGGAAATGTATTGTTAGTAATAGGCTATGTCTCTCTTGCAACGGTAGGTTTTTGGAACATCAGTGTATTTTGCAGACCAATTCCATTTTTTGTGACCAGCTGAGAATCCAGTTCCAGCGACCACTCACTTTAGTTCAGCAGTTTTTGTTCAAGTATTTATTGAAAATACACAATATTGATCATTAATACAAACATGGCATTTTAAACATTAGAAAAAGAAGCCTGTGCGCTGGCATTAAGACAAAGTTAATTGTTAATCGATTTAGCAAGAGAGGAATTTAGAGAAGCAAATAAAACCAGAAAACAAAGGAATACATTTAACTAACAATGAAACCAGGTCTCTGTTTTAGATTTTGGAACCAAGAGTAAACATGTTTGGAAATTAAACTTAAACACTGCTGTTGGCCAAGATTACAAGTAGGATATTTGGTGTCTTTTCAGCTCAGCAATGTTTTTCTTACATGTTTTTCTGTGTGTCTTTCCATCAGTTTTTGTGTGTGTGTGCCTGTGTCAGTGTGTACACAAATCAGCCGAGTGTGCTGCAGCAATTCTGAGCTGTGAAAAGGTCAAACGGCGACCTTTGTCTGTAATTCTGGGCTGAAATGAGACATGATGTGAGCCGCACGGAACGGATTACACACACACACATACACACAATTGCAAGCGCATGCCAGATTAGGATGTCATTGTGGTTTTGACCCCAGTTTTTTGACCCTGCATTACTCTGCTGAAAAGTTCTTTATTTTGCTCTTCCTGCGCTCTCCACAGTTCCTTTCCCCCACTCCACTCCCATTAACCCTAGCCAGAGGACATCCTCCAGTTGATGGAACCATCCCAGCTGCCTTTGACACAGAATTTGCTCTGCAACAAAACGCTATTAGCTGGTTTTGTAACAAATCGAAGTGAAAATGCCATCTTTCTTTGAGTCTATTGCACTGCTGTGACCTCATCCGATTACGAGGAGCAGAGCAGGCTAAAAAGACATTTCTAAGACATCAAGGCTGATACGAAAAAAATAAAAAATATATAATAACATCAGGGAAGAAATGTGGGTGGTTTTCTGCTTTTTGAGTGCTGTGGGTGTTTGAGAACAGCAGATATTTTAAAATTGATGAGTGCGAGTTGAAGTTTGCAGAAACACTGTTACATTCACTTATATTAATGGATTGAGATCGTTTCAACCTCATGCAGTTCTTTGTTTCTTATTAGTACACTTACATGTCACTTTCCACAACTGATTTTGAATCGACTGTTAAAAACACGAGAAACAAATATATTTAAATGCCATATAATGGGGTCCCCTTTTCTTGAAGTATATTTTAACAGACCCTATAAATACCATGACCCTGATGTTTTTGGTCTTATTGTTAGCTTCAATTACAGCGTGAGACACATCTCTTAAA